ATTTCTAATATGTTTCGACCGATAAAAATCGACAGCAATCATGTCCTTAGTAATCCTCAACTGGGAAATACACAAGAAGCTCTTATAAATGCGAAATCGCAGGTAGCATTGAAACACTCAACACAATATAAACAAGCTAACAGATTCACACGCTCTATCATGTTTATTTGCAATAATCATACAAAATTACAAAATAAAACACATGACAAAGAGATTTTGTGATACAAAATTGTAATCATAGCATTGATTCTTTTTTCTTTCTATTTTCTTCCTGGACCATTTTGTTCAGTTAATGGAGTACAGCCCCATTAAAAGAGCAACATGTAGTGCAGGTTCTGCATGCATGACCTGCCACACTCGCAGAACTGAGTTTGTTTTTAAGCCTCTAAGTAAAAAAAGGAATTGTATAGAAAGGAGTGAGAAAAGAGAACCCTAATTTCCTTTCGATCTCTTCATAAAATCAAAGCACATCTAAGTTAGATTAAAAACTAATAAAACAATAGGTGCAGTTAACAGACATAATAATGAAGCATCCAGGGAACAAATAGTTAAGATAATATATAATTATAATTTATTGATTGGATCAATAAAAGTCACATTTTATATAACACACATTCTTGTTGGATAATGAATCCAGGGAAGAACTTGGAATTAGTGAGTCCCCAAAAATTATTGAACAAGGAAATCCAAAGTTTAGATGGATATTTTAAGTCTAATATTAAGTATTCGTTTAATTTAACTTATTTATAAGTAAAATAATTGCCTTTTTTCAAAATTTTATGACTAAAAAAACTGAAAAAAAATCCTTTAGATTTAGTTGGTCTAAACAAAGTAAATATAGACATGAAAGGCTTCGGGTTCTTTTCTCACCCATTCATAATTTTAAAGGGAATCCCAAGCCACTCATAGAGAGAGCCACATACCTTGAGAAAAAACCCAAAGATGACTTATGCTAAAGAGCCAAGCCCATTCGTCAGATAATTGACTAAGTGTTTCATTTATATAGTGGATGTTGATACTTTTGGTATTAGTGATGTGAATTTTTTAAGTTTAACTCTTAAAAACTATAGTCATTTATGACATGAGTTAGTGGGGACAATGCAAATAATTAACAATTTTAAGTAATTTTACTTGACTATAGTGTCAAATGTAGGTTCTCCATATATATTAGAAATTTTATAAATCATGATATACTAGAGGTACCATAAATTATGATATTTAACATTGTAGATTTTTCATTGTATTAGAAAATACAACAATGATTAATTGAGTCTGGGAGCCATCCATATGAGACAAAATTCACTAATATTGTGACACCACACTTGATTGTATTGAAATTAATTTGAGATCAACCAATAATATAATTATTGATTCAAAGTTTGTTGCTATATAAGTGGTTGATTATGAGGTTAAGAGGTTGAAAATCTCTTAGCTAATATTCCATTGAGAATATAAACTAAGAAAGGATGTGATACAGTAATTGCTTTCAAAGATTGTAAATTATAATGTGAAATCAATAACGGATTTGGTTGATCCTCTGACCTTAAAGTTCTAGGGAAGATATTATTTATGAAACATTGAGTTATTGATAAATACCTTGAGGGAAATGAAATTTTATTATAGTCACTTGAAATAAAGATAATAACCTAACCTTTGTGATTGAAGATCCAATGAAGAAGACTCAATGAAAAAAAAGTCACTTGTTACTGTAACGAGCATAAGGCTAAGGAGGGGAACCATCCCTCAAAAGCCGGCCCAAGAGGTTGGAGAACCTCCCGCCTTATAAGGCCTCCCTGGTAACGAGACCTCCCCGATGTGGGACTTGTTACATTACCACCCCCTTCGAAAGCCAGCGTCCTCGATGGCTGCACTCCACGGTACTTCGCTCACCGGTACTTCACTCGGCCCTTGCCGGTCAGAACCCTCCGTGGGTAGCCCTTCTCGATTTGGCTGCCTCTCAATGAAAGCACCATTGTAACGAGCATAAGGCTAAGGAGGGGAACCATCCCTCAAAAGCCGGCCCAAGAGGTTGGAGAACCTCCCGCCTTATAAGGCCTCCCTGGTAAGGAGACCTCCCCGATGTGGGACTTGTTACAGTTACTTTTGTTAGCACTAAAATTATTTTTAATCAATTTTAATTTTGAAATCCTTCTTATGGTGTGATTATGAAAAAACTTGACGAATGATAAAGATTTTAATGAATTTTGTATTCATTGTTGGTAGTGTATGATTTGCAACATATACTTAATGAAATAATTTATGTGAGTGTCAAGTGGGACTGCTTGCATAGAATCTTAGTGAGATCTCGAAAACGCTCATAAATACCCGTATGCACATGGTCTAGTAGTACAACACAGTGACGATGACAAGGATTAGGGTGTACTATGATTGGTTATTCTCTAACACTTGCCAAGTATTTTTGAGTTCAATAGTTTGCTATACTCATTACATTATGTGTTAACTTTTATCAATCTATGCCTTGTTCAATAGCTTGTTACACTAGGTCTGATACATTAAATCTTATATGTAGAACCCAAAATTTATTTTTAACCTTTTGAAATATACGAGAGATTGTTGTATTAATTGAAATATTTAAAAGGTTAATTTATCCACGAGATTATTTTAAATTTAATTTCAAATTCAAAAGGTTATTAATTATTGATTATTAAAGTCTAATTAATACTAGTTTAATGAGATATAAAATTCTAACTGTTGTAGTTTTAATTAATTTAAATTATCAAACATTTAAAAATTAATTACTTTTAATTTTTTTGATTAATTATAGCCATAATGATTAGTATTTCTTTCTATAAATATCAAGAATCAGTAGGAGTCAAATATAATAAGTATTGTTCTCTTCCCTCTTTCTCCATGTTTTCTCTTTTTTGGGTTAAACATTTGTCAATTTTGTATCCTCAATCTAGTATTGGAAAGATCTAGTTATATCTTGAGATATTTGTGTAGGAGTCTACGAATAAGTCCTTTAAGACAGTATATTACAGGTCTCAAGAACTTAGATCAAATTTTGTTCTCAACATTTAAGGACAACAAACTCTTTGCACCTTTGTCACTTGAGCTTAGAGAGTTATGTACTATTTGAGCCTCCAACTGACCAAGGATGCTAAACACTTTGACTCTTCACTTTCAGCACTCGAGCATAGAGGATTGTGTACAATGAAGACCTCCACCTGACCAAGCAGGTTAAACATTTAAAATCTTCACACACCTTTTACACTTAAGTTTAGAAGGTTGTGTGTTGACTTGGCCTTCAGTCGATTATGATTCAGTGACCGAACCCTTGTGTCACTGTTAAAATAAGACTTGGTTTATGACTAACAGCTTCTCACGATGGATAGTAGACGAGATAAGACACTAAGATTTATAGGATCATATATAATAATGATCTTAACAACATAATTTTTTAGATAATATTAATAATGACATGACTTGTGAGATATAGTAATAAATAATATTCAATGATTTATGGAATCACGACAACAAATAAGATATTTATCTTCGAAATAAGATCTCAATATATGAGGACTCCTAAGGGCCTAGACAAATAGGTTCTGCTTCGGATGCTCTAAACTGAGACAAGTGATAGATCTTTCTAGAAAATATTTAAATTTGAGAACCAATATATGGATTATAAATGGATATAAGACCCTCACCCTATAGTAGGCCTGGGCAAAAACTTCCGGCCGATCCGAAACCGGCCAAACCGACGATCAGATCGGGTGAAGCGGATTAATTCTCAGGTATTTCGGATTTTTTCTGAAGCAAATTTCGGGTTCAAACGGGTTTTAACGGTCGGATTCGGTGTTAGAATTTTCTCATCCGATGCACCCGAATCCGACCGTTCGTCTTCACCGTTTATTTTCTCCGTCTCTTTTACTTCGTCTTCTTTCTTCTTCTTCTTCACTCCGTCTTCTTTCCTCTTCTTCTTCACTCCGTCTTCTTTCTTCTACTTCTTTCTTCTTCTTCACAGTGTCTTCTTTCTTCTTCTTCTTCACTCCGTAAACATCCTATTTTCTTCAACTTATTCCTATCATGGCTACTGCCGCTGAGAAGCTCCCTGTTCTGGTTGATGAAGGTGGTGATGTGGAGATCTGAAACTCCGTGATTTCCCCCAAATGAAGCAGTAACAGAGACCGGCAAAGAGTGACGAAAGATGGCGGCACGAGACGCTAGAGGAAGTTTCTCAAACTGATGAATCCATCTGATGAACCCGTAACCCGCACGGATTGAACCCGCTAAAACCCGAGTTCTTCGTCGGTCGGAAATGGCTCCTAATTTTTCTTAATCGGTTTCGGATGATTTTAAGAATTTTGGTCCGAAACCGACCGTGACCGACCGATGCTCAGGCCTACCCTATAGTAAAGACAAGAAAGGTCATGTATTTTGAATGCTTTGAACTTGTACAACAGTTTGAGCTTTTCTAGGCATCCTTCATATGGGAACAATTTCTAACCCCTGCAGACTGCGCAGTGTGCTTGAGAGACCTGGAACATAATGATGGTACGTAGATGTGAATATATATATATATATAGATCTCGAATATTTGTCTCATTGACAGTTGGATTTTCGAGGCCGTTCAGATTCACACTCGTATCTCTCGAGAGCCGATTATCATTAATTTTATCTCCTATTTTGCTCATCAGCTCGTATAGGGGAATGAGTATGTTGTGCATTTGTGTAGACAACAAAGTTTACACTAGTGCAAAAATAGCTTTTAAGATCGGGGTTTTAAAATCGGTTAAGGGGGAACCGATTTTAAAAGGGAAGCGGTGGCATTTTTGTAATTAAAATCACCACTTTTAAAATCGGTTGAATTTTAACCGATTTTAAAACTCCTTTTAAAATCGGTTATCATTTAACCGATTTTAAAAGGTGCCTTTCTTACTACTTTTAAAATCGGTTGTTTTAGAACCGATTTTGTATATAGTATACAAAATCGGTTCTAAAATAACCGATTTAAAAAAGTATGTCATGTTTCAATTTTTAAGATCGGTCTTATACCAACCAATTTTGTATTTGCGTTCTTTCAACTTCGTTGTTCACTCTCTCGTGCTTCAGTCTTCACTGTCTGAGCTTTGTCGTGGTTTCGTGCTTTCGTTCTTTGTCTGAGCTTCGTTATAAGTTTCGTGCTTTGTCTGAGCTTCATTATAGCATTTTCCTCCGTTCGGGCTCCCTCACCAATAATCTCCATTCATCTTCACCAAGAGGTATGTGCTTCAGTCTTCACTTTTGGGTTACGGTTTTGTCATGGACACCATCGCCATTGTCGCGCAAGTCGTCCCCTCCCGTGGCGCCGTTGGGGTGAATGTTGTAACCGAATCTGGGCACAATGTGAGCTCCAGGGGAATCTCCCCCTGGAAGCGGTTGGGGTGAATGTTGTATTGGAAGATTTCTTATGTAGGGTTTAGGGTTTTTAGTTACTCTTAAAATTTGCGGTTGGGGTATTTTTTTTTTACTCAATAACTCTATTTCCCCCTGGTGTTTAAAATCCCGATCTTCCTTAAATTGGTATCATGCTAATGAATAATCCTTAAAGATGTGGAAAATAAAGAACCAAGGAGATAGACCCGTTATGCCACTTTTGGTTCCCTCTTCAAGTATCTGAGGTCTTAGTAAAGGGGAAAAAATGCTTGAACTGTGCCAACACTGGTTTAATTCTGGTCAAGATACTAGATATTCAAATCTGTTTGATGATTTCATACACAATGATTCAAATTATTTGTTTATTTGTGAGCTTATTCAGGTTTTTCCTTCTGTTGACTTTTATGTATTTATCGAATTTTATTTGCTACCACTGTGTGTGCTCAATGATTGCTACCGTGTTAAGTTTCACATTTGCTACCATTGTGTGTTCTCAATGATTGCTCATTGCTACCACTGACCTGTTGCTTGTCTAAATTATTAACATTATTTGAGGTGAAATTGAAGGGTAACATGCGTATCTACTGCATCTCCAAACATACTGCATTGACTTTTTCCAATTTTTACTTTTAGTTCTCGAATTTTTCTCTCATTAACATTTTAGTTCATGGTGTCAAAAAATTTTGTTCATGAAGAAAACTTCTGGAGACTAAAACTAAATAAAATTTGTTAGTTAGTTACTCTTAATAGTTAATGCGGTTGGGGTATTTTTGTTGTGGTTTGTTAGTTACTCTTAAAATTTGCGGGGCTTGGATTATTGTAAGGTGATGGTGTGTTGTTCTGATTTCTGAGAATGACATTGACTATATCTGTGTCTTGTGCTGCTTCAGGCTATAACATCCTCAGAGACCAGGAGAGGTGACCTTTTTGTGGCTGATGTTAACACCCAGTTGAAGAACAAGAACATCACTACTGATGTCAAAGTGGACACTGATTCTAATGTAAGTTCAACCTTCTTGTTTGGAATGTTTTGTTCTTCTCTGTACTTTAGGGCCTGCAAAAATTGTGAAACTAATTTTGGTGGTGGATATATGTTTTACTACTACCCTTGAGAGGTGGGATTTTGGTTGGTTTCAATTTGTTGGTATATGTTCATGTTGTGGAAGTTATTATAATTTCTTGCATATATGACTATTAAAATTCATAATTTACTACAGATATCCAATGCACTATGCCTAATCATATGCTTCCTGCTTCTATATTAGTTTTCTTTTATCTTATTAATTTACCCAGACCTGTTCTATTAAATGTAATTTCACTAAAGTTGATAATGCATTTGCATTGCAGCTTTTCACAACTATCACTGTTAATGAGCCTGCTCCTGGTCTGAAGACCATTCTTAGCTTAACTAGTTTAGCTTAACTAGTATCAATTATGATCACTGTTATATTATGAAGTCGTGCACAATGGAAAAAGTGGTCAGGTGATTAATCTGTTCTGTTCTGTTCTGCACACACATACAATACAACAAAAGCAACATGTCTAATCTAAACTCAATACAAGAAATCAAAGCATTAGAGGAGACGTCAATTCAACTTTTACGTTCCCATGAGAAACCCATTTACCCATTATTTCGTACTATCAATTTTGTTTCAATGTTTAACTAGTTTAGTACACGTCACAGTGCTTGTAAAAAAAATATATATAGTAGTACTGTTTACGTAACGACAAATTGAAGAGGCTTGGTTTGTTGTGAATGAGTAAAATGGCTTCGAGTTGAACCTCTGAAGCCTAATAATTGTCTTTTGTTTGAGGCGTGCTTTGCTTTCTGATACACGCAAAACAAAAGCTCGTGTGTTTCTTCTTACATGTAAGAGATGCATTCAATAGTAAGTTATCAATAAAGAAGAGGTGTAAAAAGGATGTACTAGTGCAAAAATTGGATTTAAAATCGAACTTTTAAGATCAGTTATAAGGTAACCGATCTTAAAAGTGACGCGGTGACAATTTTGTAAATAAAATGAACACTTTTAAGATTGGTTCAAATTTAACTGATCTTAAAAGTACTTTTAAGATCAATTATTTTATGACCGATCTTAAAAGGTATGTATGACACAACTTTTAAGATCGATTACAAAAGAACCGATCTTAAAAGTTGTATCAGCCATAACTTTTAAGATCAGTTATAAAATAACCGATCTTAAAAGTACTTTTAAGATCGGTTATTTTATAACCGATTTTAAAAGTACTACTTTTAAAATCAGTTATGAAATAACCGATTTTAAAAGTAGCCCTTTTAAAATCGGTTATTTCAGAACCGATTTTGTATGTAGTATACAAAATCGGTTCTTAAATAACCGATTTTAAAAGTATCGTCAGAAACCTTTTATATTTTCCTCCAATCTTATTCTCTTTAATCTTTCCCTCTATTCATTTTTCTACTCTCTCAAACGCTCTCATTTTCTAAAGAGGTAAATTTCGTTGTTGTTTTTGTTTTCGTTTTCCTCTTCTTATGTCTCTTTCCGTTTTCTCATGCGCTTCTCTTGTTTCTGTACACATGTGTCATCATAACACACTTTTAGGCAACTCCGTTTGTTCCTGACTTGCTGCTTCAACTCATGCAAACTAGAAAGCAATTTCGTGGTTATGACACATCAGTTCATTTATGCAGTGCTTCAGACTTTGCCAAAAATCTCACTGTCCCAACATAATAGATTTCCTATTGATAGTAGTCACTGTTCCAGCTACCAACATATATAGTTGATAGAGTTAGGGTATTATATGAACCGGAGGGTCTAAGGATGCGTTTTAAAAAAAAACATTGGGTTGCACGTAACCAATTGTTTTTCCAATTCGTAGGTAGATCTATCAAACTGACTGGTCCACCCTCCAAAGTCCAAACTCATGCAGGTTAAAGCTAAAAAAAAAAGCCTTCAAAAAAGCCTGCTAATAAAAAAGTCCACAAAATCCTATGGGGTTTAGTTCAAGGTATTAGCTAATTTTTTTAAAAAAATATTAAATTTAACTATTAAAAAATTATCCTAGTCCATTTTATATATAAAGCAATTTATTTCATGACTTTATATTTTTTTAAAATAAATCTTTAAATTATGATTAAGTTATTTCAATATATGTTGGGGAGTTTTTAACGCCGAGGAGCATTCCACACAATGGGTAGTGAGTAAGTCATACAAGTGAGTTTGACACCACAACATAACCTAAAACCTTAAGGAATTAGGTAGGTGGGTCTTTCTCACTTATATATTACTCAACATATATGCCCAACTCTAACCAATGTGGGACTTCACTTCACACTTGAACTCCAACACTCCCCCTCAAGTGTGAACTCCAACACTCCCCCTCAAGTGTGAATCCCTTCAACATGATCACGCTCCTCCTCGAGCGGAAGCTTTTCTTTCGTCCACGAGTATTCAATGGTGGCCTTACTTGCACTATCGTTGCACAACGACACACGTCCTCCACACCTCTAGGGAGACTTTTAGTACAAGAGATGATCCTACTCTTGGACACTCCCCCTCAAGTGTGAACTCCAACACTCCCCCTCAAGTGTGAATCCCTTCAACATGATCACGCTCCTCCTCGAGCGGAAGCTTTTCTTTCGTCCACGAGTATTCAATGGTGGCCTTACTTGCACTATCGTTGCACAACGACACACGTCCTCCACACCTCTAGGGAGACTTTTAGTACAAGAGATGATCCTACTCTTGGATCTCCTGCCAATTCCATTCAGGATCCCAGCCAATACTCGTCTGAGCCGATCACCAGTGATCTCCTGCCAATTCCATTCAGGATCCCAGCCAATACTCGTCTGAGCCGATCACCAGTCACTTGGTCGAACCATCGGCTCTAATACCAATGTTGGGGAGTTTTTAACGCCGGGGAGCATTTCACACAATGGGTAGTGAGTAAGTCATACAAGTGAGCTTGACACCACAACATAACCTAAAACCTTAAGGCATTAGGTAGGTGGGTCTTTCTCACTTATATATTACTCAACATGCCCAACTCTAACCAATGTGGGACTTCACTTCACACTTGAACTCTAACAGTATAGACTTAATTAATATTTAAACAAACATGAATGTTTAAAAAAAACTAATATTTTAACCAAATTAAAATAACCACATTTTAAAGTGAGAACATCAAAAGTCTTATTATATTTTATTGCACATTCAAGTAGTAAATAAGTTGAAACCCACATATAATTACATTGAATTTCAAACTAATCTCATATCTATGTACAATTTTCAAGTAGTTGTAAATTAGAAGATTTTCATAATGAAATAGTATTTTTTTTATATTCAAATAATATCTTTAACTTATAGCAGCTTTAAATTAGGTTTTTCTGGGTGTATACCGTAAATATTTTGTAGCAAAAAAGTTGATCTCTTCTTAAAATAAAAAATATCAAAGTGAGTATTATCATTTTAAATTAAGTTTTCTTCTTCTATATAATATATAATTATAAATTGAATTTTAATAGTTTAAAATTCGTAATTATCTACAGATTATGTTGAATTTTATTGAAAAGTTTGTTGATTTTACAAAAAGCCAAAGTTTGAATGATGATAAATATATTTTTATTTGTTTCCCATTTAACATATGGTTATTTAAATTTTTTTACTTTGATTAAATATTTTAAAAGAAGGGAGCCAAGGGGTTTCATGATTTTGGAGAGAGTGAACCATCGAAGGATCTCGGTCTTTTATTTTTTCACATGCACAAAACTTTTAAAAATGGAATAATTAATGAAATGATACTTTTGTATATATAATAAGTTAATAGTCTTTGTGCTCCCAATTTTTATATCAAATAGTTGTATTCTTTACCGTTTACACTAATTATCTCTAAAATTATTTAGCTTTAAAGTTGAACCAATAAATTTAAAACAAGATTACTGTGAAAATGTAAGATTTTTTTTTTTTTATCAAATTAAAACGACCGGTTCCATCGGTCTAACTGAAAACCGGCCCTTATCTAATTTAGTTGTCTCATAACTATTTTATAACAAACCAATGGAAAACATGTAGAATGAGTCAAAATCATTGTTAAAACATTAGTTAAATCGGTTATATTATAAAAAATAAAAATATTTTAATTTTTAAAATTTAATTTACAATATTTTAATAAAATTAAAAATAAATATCTAATAAAAATTATAAATTAGAATAAATTATTTTATCAATTATTTTTAGTATTTTTATTATAATTATAATTTAATTATTTATGTTAGTATGTAACTACTAGTCCGATATTGCAAAAAGGTGATATAAATCCATATTCACAAAATTATATAACATCTTAGTTAAAATTTTACATGTTGATTTAAATTATTATATAAAATATATAAATAAATAATTAAAGCGAGTTAGCAAAAACTTCTTGTTACTACTTGTTAAAATAATAATAATAATAATAATTTTAACTTTAAAATGAATATATTTCATATTTTATATTGAATATATAGACTAATACTTTTTATAGTGTGATAAGTGGGGAGTCAAACCCCTTTTGGCCTTGGTTCTAACTCTTTTTTATTTGGAGTTGTGTAAGTTGAGAACTTTAAATTCCTCTATTAAATGAAACTAAAATAATAAATGGAACTGTTATGGGAAGTGAGATGAACTAACTAACTCAAGGTCATGAATTAATTAAATTGACACCATTATTCATATATATTTATTTTATCATTTAGAATATTGAAACACATAAATATTCATTTTATAACTTTAACTTGAATCCAAACATGCGTTAAGTAGAATGTAAAGTACTCCTGGATGTTCGATGAAATACTAAAGTAATTGAGTTCTACCCACAATAGTTAACTATATATAATATAAGGTAGAGTTTTCTAAATACTTTAATTTTCCTGTTTTTTCATAAGCATAAGGGGTAGATTATTAATGTGGGACTACAAATGGTACTCAAACCCACATTCATCATCAGATGGTTTTAATTTTTCAACCAATACAAGCACTAGTTAAAGGATTCAGATACCATTGTGAAAAAGAGGGAGAATCCTTTCATACATACCATAGAGCTAAACCAAAACAAAACCTCACTTGAATTAAATCTAAGAAACCAGTCATCTAAAAAAACTTATCCTTAAACAATATTATTCGCAAAAGTAATCCAAATAACAGTATGCCACAAAAGATAACAGAAAGGTCTAGTTAACTTTTGTCGGAATGCTTGGGTATCACCTATCTTTGTGTATTCTTGCCTGTGATTTGGTTAATTATGGTTTTGGTTAATACTTATCCAAGCTTTGGTTATATATTTCAGAAATGATAGTTGGGTGGTATAGTTTAGCACAGGACCTTAATGTGCTCTCTGTAATTGAGTAGTGGTGTAATATACTTCTGTTCAGAGGCTGCACCTATTTGGAGGTTTCATCAACAACTGTAATTTTTTCTTGTCTTGAGATTCTCACATACATGAAATGAAATTGTATCATGGATGTTTGTAAGGTTCCATTCGAAACTATATAGGACATATTTGTAAACTATTGAGCCTTAAGCTAATTTATATCATGTCAACAAACCGTCCTTGAAGTTGGAGATGTAGTTGTTGGCATTATTATTAATCTAATTCTATACACACATTTTTTTTTCTCTAAAAAGTACACGTGTTATTAATTTGTTGGTAATTGCTATGGTTCCAGTTTATTTGAGAGGGTTTGAATACCCCTTTCGTCATCCACAAATCACAAATCACATATATTATTGACACTTGTATTGAACAAGGGTTGGCTCTCACAGATCCAGTCGAGGGATATTTTTAGAATTTTATTTTGGACTTAACATATTTTTTCTTTGATTTACCTTGT